TGCCTTGAGTTCTACTACGGACAACCATACCCCCAAGCCGCACAATAGAAAGCGTAAACGCCGCCACAAATACAGCCCGTAAGAGCTAACTGGTAGGTTAACCCACACGCATGATCTAGTAATGGCCACCCTAGTTTGCATTTTATCCGTTATCGCAAGAACCGCACCCAAGTGGTCTCAGCCGGCTGTCACAGGCATCTTACAGGTGCTTAGACAAGAATTCCGATTACAAAAGTTAGTTAGCCCTTTCTCCTATGTACCTGTATGCTTCATTTCCCCACTGACAATTTGATCCAAAAGCTGAAAGGGCCTACCAGTGTCCTCACCCTCCAACTTTCATTCTTCATTGGCACCGTTGTCAATGTTCAAAAAGATAACCAGTGCAGCCTAGCCTACTTACTGGCTGGTTCGCAACTCCGTAGGCATTCCACATGTAGGATATCGCAGGACAATAAAGAACCCATGCGCAAAGGAAAACTTCGGTCCGCACACCTCATTTACACCTCCATTCCTTAGCCTTCTGCTTTGCCTTTTATCACTTTCCAAATGCTTAGAATCCTTGGACCGTGAAAAATTTTAGACTTATGCCGTTTGAGGTACGCTTGATAAAGGCACACAAACAGGCCTAAGCATTGTATAGTATGTTGGTGTTTAGTGCTGTAGTCGATACACAAAATGCGCCTAAGATTGGATCATTAGAATTGTCGAAAACATTATATTGTTACTAGCTATAAACGTACTCCTATGAAGCTTCGCAAATACCAGTTGAAAGTCGCGCTTAAGCGACGCGCGTTTATCGAGCCGGAGCACTCAATACTTCACTCAGCCGTTTTCAAATATAATCGGCATGCACATTGCAAAATGATATACATATATACTTAGTTAGTTCGTCTGACCGATAAAGTGACCACTATAAAGTCAGAGTCATCCCTCGGCCCTATATATTAAGCAATATCTGAGTTATACATAGCCGATCAATATTGGAAACACTAGTAGACAGGCAGCATGCTAACCAGCAGTTTTTCGTTAACCGCATTTTCTGGTAAAACTTTAGGGTTTCCTGTTCCATTGCACTGGCGTTAAAGCTCACCAGTGACAGAGTGGTCCCTTTCACAATAGCTTGCTCGACCTCCAGAAAATGTTACCACTACATCGACTTATCTTGGCCGACCGTGCATTATTGCCTCTTCTAACTGACTCCAAAGCCTACCACGCATTGTACGTAATGGTGCGTAAATAATCAGCTCCAACCTCTTTACCTGCTTTTCTACATCTTATAAACCTTACTACTCTGCATAGTGTACTAGAACAGCTCTCACCAGAGAAACCACCAAGTTAGTTGCTGCTGCGTACTTACCGTACTAGTGAACATCGCCACTGGATGAACATCATTGGCACTCATCACAGAACATAACATTGGAAAGAAAAACCTTGAAATTAAGCAACGAGATGCACTTTAGTATGCATCATCACAGGAGGCGCCCTAAGCACTCCTGTTCGAGAAAGCTTAACCCACAGAAGCAGCGTGGTTACTGTGCAACCAACGCAAACCGAAATGGCTTTCATGCCCCGAAGCATTTCGTTGTTAGCCGACAACCAATCCGATACTCATTAGTGAAATACTCTTCCAGCTCACTGGTGTTTGTGACATGATTCTCTGAATAATGTAAATAGTCTCAAACAGATAAAACGCGATATTTAGCTAACAAATATTTGCGCTATTCAAACCCAAACCTGTCAAAGGATCTTAATAGCCTCTTGAGTTATCCAGCTACACCTGGCTCATGCAGTCTTGATATAAACCACACAACCACCTAGAAGCTTAAAATTACTGAAAGCTTCGTCCATGGTAATTTATGATGCGCAGTTTCTTTTGTAAATGGTACAAGGAGGGCTTCTGACCGTGGCATAATTAGAGGTTATCCGAAAGTCTATTGCATATAACCATCCATACTGGATTCCTAGCGTTTTCGCAAAGCTTATCGCTAAATTGCCTAGATTTGCTATGTATGCCTGAAAAGTTTTCTTTCCGGCCACTTACGTCATACTTAGTTAGTTCGGGGAATTTTAGGCTATATAGAGCAGTTTTGGGTAGGTATGCCTACTTAGAACTTATACCACGCCGCCACCTTTTACAGTTTATTTCCTTTTTCTGACACCCGTTTGCAAAGCAGGAAGCCATTTTTAGCGAAAGGAAACAATGGTGTTGTTTGTAGAACGCGTTCTGAGTAGCTTCCTTTTGTACCACTTTCCGCCATATTCTAGCCTTAGAAAATGTATTACTTTTGTCTGAGATTTACCAAGTTTGAATTTTGGCGCAAGCGATCAAAGTTAGGGAGAATTTTTGGCTATATTTTTTGTTCATTTGTATTATGCTACTCAAGTACGCCGCCCTACTAAGCCACGTTCGGAACGCGTTTTAGTTCTAGTTGCATTTCTAAAAAGTATTCTTAACATTTTCTTCTGCCTTATAACTACAGCTCTTATTTCTTTCCATGCGCGCACCATTATGTGTGACGACTGAGGCTGCCGAAATATGCCAAATAAGTTATGGTGAAGTTCGTGGTGAATAAGACCCTGCTTCCAAAGGAAATATGCACAACTAAGGCTCTGCGCATCTATCCGCTACAAATAGAAGCAAGCAGCGCAAAGTCCGTCTGAACGAGCCAAATGTATTCAAGTTCGGCACCTTCAAGCCCTAAAGCTTTACACGTAACCAAGCCTACGCATCCGTGATTGTAAGCAAGAAACATATATTTCCACTGTTCCCAATTTGTACAAGAGCACGTGATTAATTTATATATTGGTATGAAACCTAGAGGGCAGAGCATCTAGCTAGTTTACATGTATACTCATTTATTGACATATTTATTACAGAGGAAGTAATCCACTGGCGAGGTGGTCAGGTTATAACGCTATGGCATTGCAAGCAGGTTGCTCACTTGCAGGGAGGCAAAGCATTTTGCGGCGATGTACCCAATAGCTCAAACGGGTAAGGAATACAGTTCTAAAGGCTTTCCGTAATCTCCAGAATACAAGTATGGTCGAACGTACAAGTACAGGACATTATGGATAAACTTCCTGAAGCATAGGATAGATGGTTGTCTACACTAAGCAAATGGGTAACGTATCTTTGGACTACTGACGCTAAACAGACTAAAAGATTGATATAGGAGAAACAGTCCCTTGTCTTGGTGGTCGGAGCATAACGCCATGGAATAACAAATAAGCTGCCCACGTGCATGAACATGAAGCTATTTTCAGATGATGTTACGGAGGTGATAATTGTTTGAAGCCAATTGTTCAAACCAGAGAAGGAGTCTGATAAAAGGTCTTTCTGTAATCTCCAGAACACATGTATGTCCGGATTTAATAGAAGAAAATTTAACAGATAGTCATCCAAAGGTATACGATTGATGGCAATGCATAGGATTATGACAGGCATAGGATTGATTTCACTAGTACTTATAGGTTACGCGGCTCAATGCGTAAGCGGCCATAGTTTGTGCATTGGTTAACGTGACTCCAATACTGTGAATTTTCGCTGTGTTCGCCATCGTATAAACAGATAAAAGGAACTCTTCGAACGGAATAGAGTCCGTGTAGCGGAAAAGACCTAACGCCACGACACAATATTGTTAAAATGTGGCTTTTATATGGAAGGCGCTTGCCAAGCGAATGCCACCAAGTCCTGGAATTCAGACACTGAGGTGTTTGCTGGAAAGGAATTTACCCGAACCGCCAAGCTAGCACCATGGCGGCTGGTGTGAGTATCCATCCACTAGCCAGTGTCGATGGAAAGGTGCGGCCCGTAGTATGGCTCTTCGACTGGGGTTCAAAACAGCAGTGATACCAGCATAGTTTTATGTGGTTGGCGGCTGGACACGACGGACTTGCTTTTAGATACCAATGAGTTAGTGAGTGCTGAAAGGGAATAGAGGGTGCTGCGCAACGTCTCTAATTGGTTACCGAGAATGGTAAGCTCAGAAGGAGGTACTGCATTAAACTTACATAACGTAAGTGGCCACTGAAACGCGTTCAGCCTATTAGATGTTTGACAGCGGCAGCCAGTTGCTTCTTGAGTGAGGAAAGTGACTTTGACGTAAATGACGCTAGTCTGAGCTATTGCAGGTAAATGTTGTAGCCGTAGTTCCAGAGGGAGGGTGTTATTCATAGAGTACAAACTCGGGGGACACTACATCTCACCCAATAGAACGGATGGTCCCGCGGCGCCTCGCCGCATATACGCTGGTTGTTCCAGTCAAGCCACGACCTGCTTAAGAGGCCTATAAAGATAGCCGTATTTGTGCTCTAAAGAGTGTAGCTGAGCTTAAAATGTAGTCCCTAGGTAGGCGACCCAGTAAGTGCCTATAACCAGTTTGGATGGAAATAACAGTATG